AATCTTGTAAAATCTGTATTGATCTTCTTTATCAATATATATTTTAAATTTGAAAATTGTGTTTGTATTCATCCCCCCCCCCCCTTCTACAAACTGTTTAGTATTCTTGTAGACCCTTTTGGGACCAACATTCTCATATTTAATCCATTGATTAAAAGTGAAGTATGTGAAGTTAAGACCAGTTTCCAAAATTCTTAACATAATTGAGGCAACCAGTTTAAGTCTTGTAAGGCTACTGAGAATTTGTCTGATTGTTTTTAAGGATCCTTTGGATTAGCCGAGGTACACGCATGTTAGTCTATACACCTCTAGTATTAAAAAGAGGAAAAGACAATAAAAAGCCAACCAACTTTCCCAATTTGAGTAATTAAGTCCATGAACTTTTTATTCTTAAAAAAACATTTGAACTTTTTCATTTTAAATAATTAAGTTTATGAAGTCTTTTCTTTTTTGAATAAACAAACCATTAAACTTTTAAAAATTAGTTACTACATTCTTTTAGGCTATGTTTGGGAAACTAGCAGATAAGTAGTTGTTAGCTGATGATTGATAAGATAGCTGTTAGTTGATATGCTAACCGGTAGCTGATAAGCTAGTTGATGAACAAACCACGATGATAAAAAATAGTTGATCAACCAGATAAAAATGTAAAATGAACAAAAATAACATCATGAAAAATTAGTTAACTACAACATTTCATAATATAATTAAAGCAAATCCATAATATTACAATATGCTAATTAATACAATCAATATATTAAAGAAAATTAAATAATATAACATGTTAATAAAAAAAATTACAAATTAATTATTACAATACATATATATTATAAATTTGAATTTGTTAAAAGAAATTAGAAAAAAAAATCTACATCAATTTATGATTTTAAATAATATTACATTACAATATGAATACAAATAAATGGTCAATCTCAAATATCCTAATAAATACTACAAGGATACTCGCGTAATGCAGCGAAATATATCGAGATAATATTTTGTTTTAATTCTTTTTGTCTATGTCGATACAATACGATTTTATGTGATTTGGAGAAATCGATAATGTTTTTATTCATAAAAATTTGAAAAAATATATATTGATATTAGTATCAAATTATCCATTTTAAATTTTTTTGTTTTTTATGTAATATCTTTAATTCAAATTTAATTTAGGTCTAATAACAAAATAAATTATTTTTGGTTTAATAATGTAATTTTTATAAGGATACTAATTAAGTATTCTGTTATAAGTATAACTCAATGATTATTTAAGATTTTTTATATTTAAAACGAGATGTTTATCATTTCGTTGCTCATGTTTATCTGCATTTAGTTACACGAATTCAAACATGGAACTTTAATAAGTTGTACTTATACACAATTTATTTGTAATCTCGAATTTTGAATAATATACATCAATAAACAGTACTTAAAGCATAAAAATGTTTTTAAGAGTATCTATCAAATGCTTTATAATATAGTATAGATATAATTTTTCAAAAATATTAATAATTAAATTTAAATATTTGTTAAATCATGAAGCATATTTTATTATCAGTAAAACAAAATAAGTATAATTTTAATTTTTATGTAATATAGATATAAAATTGTTATATATAATTTTTGATAACTAAATATATTGAACAATGATTAACAAAATAGTAATATTTGAAATGATTGATAATAATTCTAAATAATAAATAATTAATATTAATGCATAATGTACAATGTATAATGTATAATTAAAATTAATTAATAATTTTTAGTTAATATTAATTAATAATCAATATTTATTTATAATTAATATTAACGATGATTATAATTGGAAAAAGTGTCAATAAGCTATCAAAACGCTACTCCGACTATCGTTTCAATAAGTTAACTTATGTTCATTCAAACGTGTACTAAAAAATAGGTTTACTTATGTTTATCAAACAATGTCTTAACTCCAACAAGCTACCTGTAACTGGTCAGAAAAGTTATAAAGTAAAAAAGAAAACCTAAGTCAGTTTTACCTTTCTTAAATCTTACGTCATTCAAACCCCTCGTCATCCCGGGTTACCTCAATGTCGTCCGCTCTCTATTGCCGCCCATCACCGCCATTGGCCCCTGCCATCGATCTCCCTTTTTTATCAGCTTTTTTCTTTTGTATTTTGATTCTTACTCACCTTTTTATCTGTCTGTACATGCTCCATTAAATTATTGTAAAAAAGAGAGACTTGGAAGACAAAAAATAGATAAGGGGAGGGGGAGAGAGAGAAAGAGATGGCAGGGTCCTACGACGATGATGGTTCTATGGAGAGTGGACAAAGACGATGTGATGAAGGGGAGCGATGTCATTGGATGTAAAGAATTTGAAATGTTCACATTTCGGTACGGTAAAAGTGATTTAAGTATTTTTTTTTTTTTTTTAATTTAAAACATTCCACGTCGGTTATAGATAGTTTTTAAGTTAAAAAAATGTTAATTACTAGTTAAAAAGTTAGATGGTTAATTTATTAAGAACGTGTCAATCCAATTTAAATTCAACCCAAAATTAGTAGGTTAAATTGAGGTTTTCAACCCATTTAAATAAATATGATGGGTTGGGTTAAAATTTCCAACATGTTTGCACGTGTTTTCAACTCATTTAAAATATTATATAACTTTATTTTATTTTTAATTATATAAGATTATTTATTTATAATATCTAATATTATCTATTTTCATTTTTCAACATTTCTCAGTGTCTCTTCCTCTCGTTTGTGAAATATGAAAGTGAACTGTGAAACCCTAATAATCAATCTGTCTACCTCCAGGTCTCCCTCTCGTCTACCTCCAGGTCTCCCTCTCGTCTGCCTCCAAGGCTCCAACACAACAGTCTCCCTCTCTGATTTTCGCTTCTCGTCTCTCTCTTGTCGGCCTCCGGCACATAGCTTCTGATCGGTGCGGTGGTACGAAATCGGTAGAACTCACTGATTTCTTCTCATTGTTCCATCTCAATCACAAAGAGTAATTACTAAAGTTCATTATTTGGTTCTTAGTTTTGATTGTTTTATTTTCTTGTGATTCATTCCCTTTTTGTTTCTTTCGGATTCATTTACTGATTGATTATATGTTCTTAATTGCTTATAAAATTAAATAGTCTAATCTTTTTTATTTTATTTTATTTTAAAATTAAGTGAGCCAACCCATATTCAATCCATTTATTTAACAAATTGGGTTGAGAAAATTATAAACATGTTAACCTGCTACAACCTATTTAGGTAATAGATTGAGTTGGATTGAAAAATCTCAACTCATTTAATTAGGTTCAACTCATTTATTTAACAGACTGAATTAAAAAAAATTATAAACAGGTTAACCTGTTATCAACATATTTAAGTAACTGATTGAATTGGGTGAAAAAATCTGAAACTAATTAATTAAATGGATTGAATTGAGTTGAGATTTTAACCATTTACCCAAACCAAACCTACGCCGTTTCCGCAGCTACTATTTGAATTGAGGGTGAATCCCAATTTCCATTTTCAAATCCTTATCGAAAACCATCTTTTTCGAGTACTTGAACGTAAATTAGGAAACTACACACAGCAAACCGTAAATGCGCTCCAAATATTTGTAGGCACCACCGATGCTTATCGGCCCCAAAAAGCATCCGAAGAGATTACGGATTGTTTCAAATTTTGATCGTTGAAAACTCGTCAACCTCTTCGTTGATCCAGAGGTCTTTTTCATTCAGAACATCTTGGTATTTCTATCTGTAATCGTTGATCTTTGATTGTGCTGTATAGTTTGATCTGCAAATTTTACCTAGGTAGCTGATGATACGTGTTCTAATGAAGTTATATGATTCTTATTTTTATGTGGGCAACATTCACTACTAATTTTTCTGGGAAGTTGTCGAACGAAAATCTAAATAATACCTAGGATCAAGTTTGGGTGCAATCTGATATTAGATTAATTTAGGGTTTATTACGTTGCTTTCAGGCATTCCATCTGTTGTAAACCTAAGATGACCTCTAACTTGTCTGGATTTGTAGGAGAATTTATTCTTATTTCTTAGGCCAGAAGCTGTTTTTATCTCTCTCAAAGGCAGATTTAGTGCCAATTAGTTTTCCAAGTCGGTTGTCAAGCTTACCTGATTGATTTAATTGATTTCATAATTTGCTTTAGTAAAATTGCAAATTTTTGGAAGCTAATCTAGTAGAAATTTCGTTTGATCAATTTGTATGCTTAAGTACTAGAATACTTGGTGAATTTGGGGGAGAACATGTTGCAATGCATTTTAGCAGGAACCTAGTGGCAAACCGTCTAAACCACCAAACAAACGTAGCTGATATATCCCATATGGAAGTAGAGTCCAGTTCTTGATCTTTCACTGAAAGGAAATAAGCAATTTTTTAATGAGTGTTTTTTAGTTAGACTGTGTTGGGACAGTTGACTGATACTCTAGTTGTTGGCTGATAAAGGAGCTTATTGAAACGCTGTCTTACATAACGATTGAAAAAAACTAGCTTATGCCGTCCCAAGCGGAGCTTTTTTGGATATGCTCAATACCATAAGCTAGTGCATGCCAAACATACCCTTAATTTCTAAAAAGGGTAGTAGCTATATGAATCTCTTGGACTACGTGAAAGTCTCTTAACAAGTTGGATGTAAATTTATAAAATTTTGTGCACATTAACAAAGTTTGAGCATACTTGTAGATGTTTGAAGGACAGCAATTTGCACATCAAGTGAGATTTCTTTGAGACAACATCTAATTACTATAATTTATAATATAGGTAATGTGCAATGTGAAGATAATGTAGCTATTGTTGTGTTATTAGTTTATTTTTATACATGTATCTGTGAGTTGATGTTGCTGATTGTGGTGGTTGAAAATTATCATTGTTATAGAACTACTATATGTGTTACTGCTGAATAATTATCACGATGAAGGTTGATTAGGTGGTTTAAACTTTAACTTTGATTTCTAAGTGAAAACATTATCTTTGCAAGCGAACACCGGTTACATGGAGAAAGCGGAGTTGTCAACCCCAGATATGTGGTTCTAATTTGACAAGTTATAACTCATAATCCTGATATAATCATCCTGAATGTCTGATTTTTGTGTTGAAGTTTTCATCTGGCATGTGAGTTTGACTGATTTTGGATAAAGAACATCTTGGTTTTTGGAATTTCCTTCTAACATGATTATGAAGTCTTCTTTTTGTTCTTTTCAATTTGAGACTGATAATCTTTTACTTATTCCACGACCTAATTTGTTTGATTTCTATGTCGGACTTTCTTTTCTTGATAGGTTGTTTGTTGGGCTTTCTTTTCTTGATGGCGGCTTTGAAGGAGCTTTTGCCACCTGCTAAATCATCTACTTCCACCTTCTATGATCATTCAAGCGATCCATGGTTTAAGCAACGATACAGCGCCCCCACGGAGGATGATCTTACTGAAATCATAAAAACTAATTTGATCCCATTATACAATACACCAGAACGGTTGAAGTATCGACCATCAAAACCACAAGACTTTGGTGATGGTGGAGCATTCCCTGAGATTCATTATGGGCAGTATCCTCTTGAAATGGGTAGGAAGAAGGATGCAGCTTCTGGCCCCAAGACCTTACCTGTAACAGTTGATGACCATGGTAATTTGACATTTGATGCGATTGTGAAGCAGAACGAAAATGCTTCAAAGATTGTGCATTCACAGCACAGAGATCTTGTTCCAAAGATTTTGAAAAATGAAGACGATGAAGAAGAAGAGGAGGATATTGAGAAGCAGAAAGAGATTGAGAAAACCACATTGCAGACAAAAGCTGCTCTCGAGAAGATCGTGAATGTGCGATTAAGTGCAGCACAGCCCAAAAACGTTCAAACGCAATCTCAAGATTCGAAGTTCATCAAATACAAGCCCTCACAGCAGTCGGCTGCTTTCAATTCAGGGGCAAAAGAGAGAATTATTAGAATGGTGGAGATGCCCGTTGATCCATTAGACCCACCAAAGTTTAAACACAAGAGGGTTCCAAAGGCTAATGGCTCCCCACCCGTCCCAGTTATGCACTCCCCTCCCCGACCTGTGACTGTTAAAGACCAGCAAGATTGGAAAATCCCACCATGCATTTCAAACTGGAAGAATCCAAAAGGTTACACCATTCCACTCGATAAACGTTTGGCAGCTGATGGCAGAGGACTTCAGGAGGTTCAAATCAATGATAACTTTGCTAAACTTTCCGAGGCCTTATATGTGGCAGAACAGAAAGCTAGAGAAGCTGTTGCCATGAGATCAAAGGTTCAGAAAGAGATGATGATGAAAGATAAGGAACGTAAAGAGCAAGAATTGCGCGCTTTAGCTCAGAAGGCAAGATCCGAGAGAACTGGCGCTGTAGCTCCAGCAGCTCCCCTATCCTCCAACCACATCATGATGGACATGGATGGGCCCATGAGAAATGAACACGAACATGAACGCGTGAAGGAGAGAGAGACAAGGGAGGAGAGAGAAGAGCGGTTGCAGAGAGAGAAGATTCGCGAGGAGAGACGTAGAGAGAGGGAGAGGGAAAGAAGATTAGAAGCCAAAGATGCAGCCATGGGGAAAAAGAGCAAGATCACCAGAGACCGAGATCGTGACATCAGCGAGAAGGTGGCTCTCGGTATGGCATCTGCTGGCGGATCTCGTGGCGGAGAAGTGATGTACGACCAGCGGCTGTTTAATCAAGAAAAGGGAATGGACTCTGGTTTCGCAACTGACGACCAATACAACGTCTACGACAAAGGTTTGTTTACCACTCAACCGACCCTTTCGACCTTGTACAGGCCGAAGAAGGATGCTGATGACGAGATGTATGGTGGGGCCGATGAGCAGATGGAGAAGATTAGGAAGACGGATCGGTTTAAACCCGATAAAGGGTTTAGTGGTGCTGGTGAAAAGAGCGGTCCAAGAGATCGACCGGTTGAGTTCGAGAAGGAGGTTGCGGAAGAGGCAGATCCATTTGGTTTGGACCAGTTTTTGACCGAGGTTAAGGGAGGGAAGAAGGCGTTGGATAAAGTCGGAAGCGGAGGGACGATGAAAGCAAGCGGCGGGTCGTCGATGAGAGAAGGGTACGAAGGGGGGTCTGGTAGAAGTCGGATTGGGTTTGAAAGGGGACGATAACAAACTTACTGATGTGCTTAATATCATCATGGTTGTGTTGTTAGTGTGTTTGAATGAGTGAGTGTACCAATGTGTTGGACTTGTTACTTGGAATGGAACTATGTGTCTTAACGTGAGTTTATTCGTTCAGCTATATATTAGTGTTTATATTAGTGTTTAAATTTTATGATACAGAAGGTGGCTTAATGTGTAAAAAATGGTTTATTTAGTAAGTTTTTAGTAGGAGTTTTATGAAGAAAGCGAAGTTTTTAGAAAATGAGAAGCGTAAAATGAGATCTGAATCCTTGATCACCTTTAATCTTAGACTCATTTATGAACTGTGCTTGATACGAGAATTAATCAAATACATCTCATCCTATCTTCTCATTTTAACTCTCTTTCTAGAGCTCAACTCGCATACATTAATATAAAATATAATATATATGCCAACTTATCTGAACATTTATTAATAAAAAAAATTTACACTTCTCACAAGCCCTAATAAATCTATTCATCGGATCTATAAATTTTAGTGTTTGTTTTTCTATTTGTTAATTTTTAAACAATGATAAATAATTGAATTTAGTAACTCCATATGTAATTTTTTATTTATATTAAACTATTTAGATATAAAATCGCTTGTTCGATTTATGAAACCTTAGATTTCAACACAAAAATAGAACTCGGTGTAAATATACACTTTGAATTATTATCGTCTTGTAACAACTAATTATGGTATAAGTATCAGATATTGTTCCCACAAAGAAAGCTTTGTAAAGTTCTTCAAAAGTCCAGTCTTTAAAAACTAATTTCAGATGACGAATTCGAAGGATTTATTTTATCTAAAATTGGGTGGTTTGATTAGCAATTAAAAAAATATCAGTCGTGAAAAGAAGCACATGATGCAAAGATTTAATTAAGACATAAAACAGGTGATCCAGTAGAAAGATGGCATAGCACTCCTGCCATAGTTCTACAATACCACTGGATGATGTTATAGAACTGTCACAGTATCAACTATCGGATCAGACGACCTCTTAAGAGTACACACAGGCCAACGTGTTATCGATACGATATCATTTATGTTAGACGTCGTTAATCTCAAAACACAATGTTACCATCCTACACCGTAGATATATAGTAAATGTCAGATACTAAAACTCTTTATAGTCTTCTTCTATTACCTCAAATTTTCTTATTTACCTTAAATCTAAAAGTTAATGCATTTTTATTCATAAAATTAGTTGTCAATTAATTCAATGTAATCTTCAATGAAATATTAACCTCCTGAAACAAATAGTTAGACAATAATGCTAACAAGGCACATTTGTACTTTTACATCGGCATTGGTCTTAATTTTCCCTTACACCCGAAGCTAAGGCGTTTAGCTAGGCATGACAACGGGGCGGGGATGAGGCAAGTTTCGTAATCCCCGCCCCCAACCCCAGTTTTTAGTAACAGCCTCTGGTCCCCGTAGGTAAGGGGATTAACATCCTTGGTAAAACTTCATGAAGAATATTCGTTAGTTTGAGTTTAACAGGGATCCCTAGCCCCAACCCCGACCCCGACTCCGGTTTAAGTAATAGCCCCGGCACCGACCCCGTTTTGAATCTACCGGGAATCCCTGTCCCCGGTCCCTAGACCCGTTTTAGCGGTGAATCCCCGTCCCCGTTCGAGGCGGATAAGTCGGGTTCTCCACCGGGTCGGGCAAATAACCATCCTTACATTTAGTCCATCATCGTTCGGTTTCTTCTTGCGAATGATGTAAAGACTGAAAAGTAAATAACTGATACAAAAAAGTAAATAGCAGAAAATAAATTGCGAGAATGTAAAAAAGACTATAAATTAAAGTGTAGAAATATAAATGACTGAAAGATAAATTGTTGGAACGTAAATTTCAGAAAAGTAAATTACATAAAAATAAATTGCAGTAATTAAAATACTGTAAATTAAATACTGAAAAGTAAATTGCAGAAAAGTAAAGTGCAAGGAAATGTAGAATACTATAAAAGAAATGACATAAAGTAAAAAAGAAGGACTTGCAAAACAAGTTTTTTCACTAAAAGTGAGAATATTTGTGAACACTTGGAAAAAGTTTTTTTTATTTAAGGAAATTAATCGTGAACCACAAATGATGAAATCCAATGTATTGCAACAATGATCGATTAATTCAACTTGTAACGAAAATTTGAAAGCTTTTGAGGATTGAAAGTAAAAAGGAGATGAAACTTGGAATACTATAATTTGGATTAATCTTGAGAACATGGTGCAAATTTACTTCAACAATTTCAGTTCTTGTTAAGCAAGAAAGCTGAAAGGTAGACAAAAATAATAGAAAGTATTAAATCCAAAGGTAAAATAAGTAATATAAAGCTAGTAATAACTCCTATTTATAAAGAGGATAAGACTTAGGGCATCTTCAATGGAGGTTATTGGGGAGGATCATGAATGTCATTACATGCATCATGCATTATGAAGAGAGGTTAATGGGAGTTGCATGGAATAGAGTTTCATGGCCATTATACGCATCATAGCTAAATCAATGGGACCCACTAATTTATTTTTTCTTTTATAATTAAATTTGTAAGGATTTAATTATGATATTATATATATATATATACACACACACTATAATATGATATTTATTAATCAATAAATTAATTTTTATTTTTATTTTTCTTAATTTATAAAAACAACATAATTAATAAAACATTACATTAATTTCAAAATACATTACATTAATAAGATATTACATTAATTTTAAAATACATTACATAAACTACATTTAGATTTAATTCGATTGAAGTTGTTTCTCCAATTCTTAAGTATTCATCAAATTGATCAGCTGTTGTGCCATATGCTAGTAGATTTTTAAATTTGTTGGTAAAATTATATTTATAGATAATATATATATATATGTGTGTGTGTGTGTGTGTGTGTGTGTGTGTGTGTGTATATATATATATATATATGATGTGGAAATCCATTAAACTCATTGGAGTGTTATGGAGTGTGGGTATAAAATGATAGAGTTGTATGGTGAGTGGAATGCTGATGTAGCAGTCCATGACACTCTGGTAGAGTGTCATGCACTGGAGATGTCCTTATGCAAAAAGATAAGTCATTAGTACAAAAGAGAAACTTAAACTATAAATTAGCTCACAGCCCAAGTCCAGAATCTGCAGCTAATTTCGTCATTCCAAAGTCTCGGCCCAAAAGTGAGGATGTTGCCCACCACACACTCCTATAGAGCTGCTATAGCACCACTTCAGCAAAAAAATCTTGTAAAACTGCTATACAATTGGCCAAAAACTTCAAAAATCTACATAATTAACAAAATAACATAAGATTATGACATAATACTACTAATTTACATAAAATTAAGAAATTACATAAAATGACTTAAATGACTCAGTTTAAACATTAATGTCTGAATAAAATAATATGATTAAAAAAATGATATAATAAAATTAATAAATTAATACTTATCAAATACCTTTTTTCATACATTTAAATGTTATTCATATAGTGTAGGTGTGAAGGGCCATAGTGAAAATACTCGAAAGTATAGGGGCAAAATGTATAATTTACGTTAAACTATATAAGCCGATTAAGCCCTGCACAAACTCCTCTCCAAAGGGGATACACAAGAAATACTTGTCCATTTCTTGCTGTTTCACTCGCAATCGTTCTTCAAATCTTTTGATCCCCAAAACAACGCCAATAATGATTACGCTAGCCAAGACGCTATCGACCCAGATCACAAACTGCACTAATATACAGCAACTTAACCAAATCTATGCTCATGTTATCAGAATCCATATGCTTGATCTTTACACTGAGCCATTTTATTGGAATACCATCATCAGAGCATACACCAGGCTTTCTTCCCCTTCCAAGGCACTGTATGTAACCATAGCCATGACCCGTGCCGGCGTTTACCCGGATACCTACACACTACCCGTTGTTTTGAAAGCTGTGTCTCAAGAAAACAAGATTTCGATTGTCAGACAGCTTCATACGGTTGCCATGAAACATGGGTTGGAGACGAATTTGTTTTGCGAAAGTGGGTTAATTAGTTTGTATGCCAAAGCGGGTGAGTTTGACGATGCACTTAAACTGTTCGATGAAAGTCCTGAAAGAAATCTTGGTTCTTGGAATGCTGTTATAGGAGGGTTGTCACAAGGTGGGTGCGCAAGGGAAGCTGTAGACATGTTTTTCGAGTTAAAGAGAAGTGGGTTAGAACCAGACAACCTGACCATGGTTAGTTTAACTTCAGCCTGTGGAACCTTAGGCAATTTAGGGTTAGCTCTTCAGCTGCACAAATGCGTCTTTCAAGCCAAGACCTTAAACAAATCAGACATTTTAATGTCCAATTCACTCGTAGACATGTACGGGAAATGTGGTAGAATGGATCTAGCTTATCGGGTTTTCTCAAGAATGCGTGAAAGAAACATTTCTTCATGGACATCTCTAATTGTAGGGTACGCAATCCACGGGCATGTCAACGATGCACTACAAAGCTTCCATCAAATGCAAGAAGCCTCTGTTAGGCCTAATGGTGTGACCTTTGTGGGCGTCTTGAGTGCCTGTGTGCACGGTGGATTAGTACACGAAGGGAAACGGTACTTCAATATGATGAAGAACGAATACAGGATCGAGCCATGGTTGCAGCATTATGGGTGCATGGTGGATTTGCTTAGCCGATGCGGGTTGTTGGAGGAGGCACGAGAAATGGTGGAGGCGATGCCGATGGAAGGTAATGTGGTGATATGGGGGAGTTTGATGGGTGGTTGTGAGAAATATGGGAATGTGAAGATGGGAGAATGGGTGGGGAAGCATTTGCAGGAAATGGAACCATGGAATGATGGGGTTTATGTGGTTATGTCAAATATATATGCTAGTAATGGATTGTGGGAAGATGTTGGAAGAATGAGAAGGATAATGAAGGAGAGGAGACTTGCAAAGATTCCTGGTTATAGCTTGGGAGCATGAACTCGAAGAGGTTAGCCATCGTTAAATTAAAGATGGACAAAAACGGTTAACTGGTTGGATTCTTAACCGGTCCGCTTCCCTGCTTCATGAAACCTTAACGGACCAACCAGCGACAGATCCGGGATATTTGTTGAATGGGTGCATATTTAAGATGGACCAAAGGCCCATAAGGTTGCAGTGATCCATGGAAAAGTTAATTGTGTCGATTTGGGGAATAAAATACATTTTTTCAAATGGAATTGATCTTTTGAGTAAGACGCAAGACTATTAGGCGTAAGCCCGATGTATTTTTAGCCGAGATGCACCATTTCGAGGGAAGTTTTTTGGTTGACGTTTCTTGTATGTTTTTAATATCCCCAAGCGCCTTTCAAATTTTAGCGAAATTTTAGCGAGTGTATCTTTCATACCCGAAAAATAAAAGATCTACTAGCGAAAATCAACTAAGCATGCGCATAGGTCCACCCTAGTTATGACCGGTTGTTGGTTCAATTGAAAATATCAGGAGTGACTATAACCGGTTGCTGACAATTTGTGTTTTTTTAACTGTTTTTTTAATCTTTATTGTATATTTAATAAGATATAAACTGTTTAAATAAAACATTATATACTCGAAAAATTGTTAAAATACAAATAGTTACATTAAAACGTAGTGCATCATTCTGGTCCTTCCAAGTTCCAACCGCTTATACAATTGGTTACACAAGGCCTGGCGTAGGACCGATTTGGGTAACTGTTGGGGCTTGACCGGTTACGGCCCTTCATAATCCGTTATGGAGCAGGCCCAGTTTTGGTTAACTACGACTAGTGATGGCCAAACTGGTCCGGCCCGGCCCGGGACCGGTATGCGACGATTATTGTTACGATTCTTATTAAATATCAGTAGTACATTCAAAAAGCAAGCCAATATACAATGTTGGTAGCAAGACATTTGATAATATATGTTGAACCTGATGTAACATTTCGAAATTTCGATTTCAAGAGTACCAGTAATAAGACATTGACTAGTCTGACTCCTTATCGTCTGTGGCGAAACCCACCGCTACACCAACTTCAGCTGGTCGTATGATTCGTTCATGCAGTGTGTATCCCGGCTGCAAATATACAAAATGGTTCTTTTTGGTTTCATGACTCTTGAACAAAATAACTGTATTCTGAAATCTTATATATCTTCTGATGACATGTTAACATGATTTAGAAATTAAGCATGTGTATCCATTATTTGTCAAGTGTTTTTCACAATTAAACAGAAATTAGATAGATTGTTCATCAAACAAGATGTTTTTTTATTACCAACATTAATTCAGTAAGCATCTAATTCCCTTCAAATATTGGCCAAGATTTAGATGTCCTAACCATATCCCTCCGTTAAAGAGATTTATGGGCCTTTTACTAAACGTTTACCCGATAAGCATTTACCATTATCACCAACCATACTAGATGAACATGGGAAAGACCAAGAATCTTACAAAGTAAGGGGCTGTTTACCAAACGCTTACCCGGTGAGCACTTACAGGTAAGAGTCAACATTCTCACTTACCTTATCGGGTAAGATTTTAGTCCGTCAAAACGGCACCGTATGCAGCAATTTACCCGGTAAGCGCTAACTAGGGCAAGAGTTATCATTCTCACTTACTGGGGAAGACTCTCGGTCCTTGCTATCGCTCTTACCGGGTAAGATTCTCGGTCTCGGTCTTTGCCATGTTTATCTAGTAAGGTAAGTGACCCGGTAAGCGTTTATCGGGAAAGCGTTTGGTAAACAGCCTCTAAGAGCGATGGCAAGGACCGAGAGTCTTACCCAGTAAGCGAGAAAGAAAAGACTCTAACCCGTTAGCTTTTACCAGATAAGAGACGGTTACAAACAAACCATTTTGATGGCCGAGAATGTTCCCCAAGAAGGTAAGTGAAGGTGGGAACTTTTGCCGTTAAGAGCTTACCTGGTAAGCATTTGGTAAACAGCCCCTTAGACATGACAATTGGCATGCTGAAACATTTATATAAACTGTCTAGTTAAACATAGCAACTTTCGAGTACAAGTAAGGCAGCATACCTTCATTACAACAGCAATAGTATTTGGAGGCTTTGATGGATCTGGTACTTGAAACACTGCATTATGCCTATTTGGATCAAATTGTTCATTCACAGGATCATATCTTTCCACCCCAAACTTCTTGAATACCTGTTAAGCTCGAAGGGGAACGAAAAAAAGGCTGTTTTTTTCACATTTCAAGGATCTAATTGTTGATAACAAGAATCATTTCGTTCTATATAAATGGATCACAGTGGTTACCAATTGATGCAAAGAAACAGTTACCTCTGCTAGTTGTTTTTCTGTCATCTCTACACCTTCCAGTAATGTTTTTAAAAGAGGTAGAGCTCCGGCAGGGTCTTCTGTAGTGTCAATTTTTGTAAATTTGTCTTTCACAACTGATGAGGCTCTACCAAGATTATCTGCAACGTCCAGCAAGCTCTTTGCAAATGACTGCAACCATAGTATCGGATTAAACAACGCATAATAGATTTTTGACTTAAAAATGGATGATTAAGGAAAACCTGTATGGCAAACTTTTTTGAGTTTTCTGCTGCTCGTTTTGTCCTCGCAATTACATCATCAATTTCAGCAAAACTCCTCAGACCTTTTTCTTGCATAATCTCCATCTCCTTGTTCTTTTTGTTTAGAAGTTCTTCTTTCTTTGCCAGAAGCTTTACTAAATCATCCCTGGATAGGTCGTTTTCAGAATCTGAATCTGAATCAGAAAATTTAGTTCTTTTAGTACCTCTTCTCCTTCTTTTGGCAGATTGGGATATGTCAGAGGCACCCGAATCCACTTTGTTATCAGGAAGTCCGGCTCCATGAGCACTGTTGGTCTCCACGGTAGTCCTTGTCTTATTCCCAGGTTGGACAATTTCATTTTCATTATTTTGAGAAGAAGCAAATGAAAAGAATCCACACTGGTAAATAGAAGAACCAGTAAGAGAATTATGGAGCTCAGATACTTGGCTTGTTACCTCCTACAACAAGAAGCTCTATAAATCACGTATTCTGAAGTTCGAACCAGAGAGTAGGAAGAGAAAGATATGAAATTATCTTGTAGGTCCAAAACAGGGTCATCCCCACAAAGCCAGAAGGTGAACCATAGGAGTCGGCTATTCTCCGAAAAACCACCATAAAATCTTGGGCTTTCATCCCCCCCCCCCCTTCTTTATAATTTTTTGAACTTCCCCATTATAGGTTTAAGTTCGATATTGTTTAAACAAGTAGAAAAGTATCACCATGAATTGCACAAACTTCACAGCCATAAACAAATCTCTAATTCCAAATAACAGAATTTTTGTTACCTGTGCCGGTGTTCTAAAAGGCTGGCCATGACGTGTCGTGGCTCAAGGCTCGTGTCTAACCCCACATTAAGCTTGTGGCACACCATGGCCCAATGCACAGTTTTTATAACACAATATTTGGTTTTTCTTACCTTTCTAGTGTTTTACTTTTTAGTTTATAGTATATAACTTAATTTAAATTGTTTAATATCATTGGATAATTAAGTATTAGTATATGTGTGTATATAATTATATGTATATGATACACATATCCGCCATCATAAGTCACGCCTTGGAAAACATCCAGGCCTCGTCATGGCTCCTAAGGCTTGAGGCTTGATCTCGTCGCTCCACCGCGCCTCACACCATTTAGAACCTTGACTTGTACCCTTAGGAACTCATCTAATACCATTGTCACCAAAGTGTTCAACAAGTAATCATGACTTGGATCCCACATTTTGCACATTCTCATAGCATTTTGCAACTATAGATCCAAACAAACCCCCCTCTCCCCCCCCCCCCCCAAAAAAAAAAATCAACCCAAACGTATCTTTTGTCCCATTTCTCCCATTCTTTTAGCTTTCAAGGTGACACCTGAATCACATTACTAGACTATTAGACATTTAGACTATTCCCGATATATGCTACCACGGATCATAGACAATGAACATTGAACAAGCTTCTACAGTTAGATTGACTAGCAACACTCAAAACCACAATTTCTAAATTTACAGATTACGGTTCATAAGTTAAAATAAATTAAATAAAAAACTCATAGAAATACGTTCAGTAAGAATTGACCGATATAATTGCGTTATAAAAACACAGTTTAAATCAATAAACATCTGAGTTACCTTAAACGGCGATCGAACGAAACGATAGCGGGAATGAAGCTGGCGAGAATCTTCATAGCACCTCATGACACTACTAATCTGCATCGACCTCATTGAATTCAAATTCAATCGCTTCTTCCTCCATATCTCCGAAACGAGCGCACAAGCTCCTACCAGTTCAACAAAAAATCTGCGTTTCAAAATCACTTTACAGAAATAAAAACAAAAATCCAAATGCATTTTTCTTCAAATTCTGCAATGAAAAACAGTGAGTACTCATTAGATTGGAGATAGGGCTTCAGCTTTCAGATAGAAATCTCTACGAAGAAGGTTTTAGGGTTTATGCAAAACCCCGTTTCACTAGCCTAACTTTGGCTGCTTTGAACGGAAGGCCCTAAACTTTTGCTTTTTGAATTTTAAGTCCTTGAACTCAAACTATCATCACCATTTTAGGGTGTGTTTGGTACTTGTCACCAAGGGTGTAATCGGGTGAATTCCAATGAATTTATATGGGTCCAATCCAATCTGATTATCTACTGGATATTGAATATTTGTCATCCGATCCGATCCGATTAACATTGGACATCCAATCCAAATCCAATGGATGATTGGATGTTACTATTGGTTATCCATTGGTTCAGATTGGATTTATCCAATCTTTTGATCTAATGCTCAACCAATTAATCTATCATTTTAACTAATTATTCATATATTTTATTAAGTTATTAAAAATGCTCAATAATCCCAATAGGATTTAAGGTTTATCACCCATGATTAAAAATAACAATAAGATCGTTGCTTGAACAAAGTATGAATCAAAGTAGCAATAATATACAGAAAAAAAAAGTGACGATAAGAAATATTAGGCTACACTAGAACAAGTTATATTAGTACCAACCAATATAAAAGTTGTTGAATCATACTAATCGTTGAAGCAACAATCTGAATAGAAGATGCATAACAAAGGGAATCATATCATAATTTTGTAGCAACAACATTAAATGGGCAAATCAGTACAACAACATGACCATTTGCCCATGGTTCAGACCATTAACAATGGCAAAGAGGAAAACTCAACAACCTTAGCAAACTCTAGGGACAAGCAAGATAAAATTGTCTGTTCGAATGAACAATTTACAAACCTAACTATGGAAATTAGAATAGACATTTGGTTCGCCACGTGCAAAGACGTGAGATATACAAACAGTCTGATGTACAACCTTTCTCTAATGAAGTGTGTGTCAGCCTTAATGCGTTACGTTTGATCACGTTGCATTGGTTTGTAAGTTATGCTTATTGTAGTCTTGCTATCAAGTGAAGTTTCAATGGGCCATCACATTTAGCCTTTAAATCCTATGGAACAATCTTCAACCACAATAGCTTACACACAGGCCATTATAGTTTCATATTCTTTTACCTTGTTGAGTTTGTGGTTCAGTTCTATTTAAGTACTCATTTCTTTAATTGCATCTTGTCTTATCCTTTTCCTTGAGTGGATTTATGACATAATTCTATTGACAGATTTAAAAACATCTTGTTCAGAATGTAACTTCAATCCCAGGAAGTATTGTAACCTTCCTAATGCCTTCATCTTAAACTCTTTAAGCCTAACCACAAGGGTGGTGTCTGATTGGTTTGAGTTTGGCTCCAAAGATCAAAAGTATCAGGAGATCCAGGTTCAAATCCAAGGAGGAATAAAAATCCCCTTGTAGTCACCAAGGTTCAAATGCAGTGACTTCGGGCTATCTGCAAAGCAGGTGGTCGTCCTGGGATTAGTCGGCACGTATAACGGGTTGGATATCCATGTGTAACAATCACGCTCAAGAAATCCCCAAATTACCAATTATATAAAATCTCCAATAAAATATAATTTATTGATTGTTAGGACCAAAAAATTATACTAATTATTCTAAAAGTTTTATCAAAATAATCGGGGCCAAGGATGGAAAATTTGAAGATCTTGCTTAAACGACTAAGTCTGGAAGAAGACCAGAGGAGATGAAAATGGACCAGAGGCGATGAAATGGTCCAGAGGCGATGAAAATGGTCTAGAGGCGATGAAGTGGTCCAGAGGCGATGAAAATGAACCAGAGGCGATGAAAATGAACCAACCTAATGAAATGGTCCAGAGGCGATGAAAATGGACCAACCATTTGAAACACACAGATCTGGGCTTATCATTGATTAACCTCAAAATACAGGATATTAATTTCTAGAAAAACTTCGAAATATCCGTTCTATTTTAGTGATAAAACCACCCAAAATATAATTTCAAACTGGATATAATGGATTTTTACTTACAACCCGAATTAGGTAGCAAAATAATACGGGACATACTTATAACCGGAACAAGACTATATATAAGCTACACTTACTACATCTATGAGATACTGTAATAAGCTACTATTTACCAAAAGCAAGATCGTAATCTTCAAGTTCCTCGATAATTCTTCGAGTCAAACAACGGGTTCTTTCTTTTTGTTCGTCTTCTTTCCTGAGAGAGGTTGCCACTTAAATGGTAAGCCAACGCTTAGTGAGTTAATAGTTAAGTATTACATATCAATATCGCACATGTTTATAAACATACTTAATAACCTCTTATCAATAAAAGAGTTCAAGACATCATCTAAATGCAAATCGAGACTTACAAGAAACCGAGTGAACAATTACGTACCAGATGCTAAGATCATAGGATTCCATATTCAAATCACCATAATATACCATACCATTGATGCTCAATACAACGAGGAGACATGATCAACAACCAAATATATTCAGCAACGTTAGAATACCAATAAATATCAAGAACCAAGAGATCGAATCGATAAACATAACGAGGACAGTGCATCACCCCGTCCTTCACCTCTCGGGCTCATGCCAAAGTCCGAATCAGAACCATACATTACGGGAAATCTCGCACTGCCCGCCTTCCTCTACCGGGTATGTGCCAAGGTTCCCTACTCATTGCTCTTCCTCCTCTTTGAGCAATGAGTATTCACAACCGCAGAAAGTCTCACCCGTCCATCCCGAGATCTTGACTTTGCCATAAACTTTTGGTGTGCCACACGAAGTAGTACCCGTACTATGGCATACAATTCAAGAAACAAAACAACGAGTCCGGACCCGGAAAACAAACCGATGTAACGAGATCATAATATGGAATCGACTCAAGAGACGGAATCAAAGACAAATCAAGATTGTGTGACTCAATTCCAGACCAAAAACATTCATATGAAAATATATATGTTCAAATCAATATGTATCAATTAACTATATAACTCACCGGGCAACCGTATAATACCGAAAAGCTCCACAATGAGCTCACAAAGCAAGTCCAAGCTACCACACTTAGATTGCTTCCAAAGCATCAAAATATGTCCTAATTACCCCCTGGAGTAAATGTACAAAATCTCATAAGTAACCAATATAAGAAACTCATGATATACACATATCCTATTTGAACACTTTACCTAAATTTCTATGTACAACTGTTGCATGCAGAACTATTTTGCCCATTTTAAACTCGAATTCATGACTTGATAATAAAATAACAAATAAACTAGACTCAATTATCTAACTAAGAAAATTGGCCTCACCTCATTTGGATTTTTCTACGATTTTATACAGTTTTTCAAAGTCTGCACATTTTTGGTGCATTCTTAAGTGGAAATTCTCATTTTCATACATTTTTCTCAAACCATTTCGATTCCAAACTATTCCAACTTCTGAATCTCAACTTAATATAACATATTTGACATAAACAACCAAAATCCAACCTTTATTTATCATTTATATTATCTCCCAAATCATTGACTTAATCAAGTCAAAGTTTATATAATGAGTTTTCATAAATTTTGATAATCTATTGAATCTAATGACCATTTCATGCCATAAACACTAAAATGCACTCATTTTATACACTTAAGATCAAACCCCTATGAAACCCTAACTCTAACTCAACATGCAATCCATATAACAAGTATGTCAACCAAAAATAAGTGCAAAAATATATTATACCTTATTTGATGATCAAATCCTTCAAAGATCTTGTAATGTCTTTTTGATTTGAGTTGAATCGAGCTTATGTGTGTGAAAATCACACATCTAGTGTATGTGTGAGTTCTGAACTCAGATGACATGAAAAATGGGCCAAAAATCTAATTTATAATGCTAAAACTCGAGTTGGGCCGGGTTGGCCCGGCTAGGTACCYATTTTGACCATCAACACTTAAATTATTCATAACTTTTCGCTCGGACCTCCGTTTTCTAAGAGGTTTTCGCCTACACGTTCATAAAGAGATAATCTATAATATTCAACAAAAATATTTTAGAAAAGATCTCCCAAAAAAATCAGTTTTACGTATCTTTTTGACGTAATTTTTTTCCCAAATCCTCTAATATATTCCTAAGAAGTATAATTCTAAATTTCAGACCCAAACTCCCACTAAATCATAGGTTCTCTTTAACCCAATAATTAAATATACTCAACAAATAATTTGGGCATGTTAGAGATTGGATGTTACACCATGTTAATAAAAAAAACGCTTTAAGCCAAACATTAACTAAGAAGTTTATTTTGCCTGTCATTATGCTATCTACAATCATTTCATAGAGATACACTAATAGGATTATGAGTTGTGACTTTGCCTAAAGATGATGTTTTAAGAACGAAACCTGATCTTCGTCTGACTATGTCCATCTCCCATTTTGTCATCACTTTGGTAGATCTTCCCAACCATGCTTCGTGGTAATAACTGTTTGTGCCCTTAGAAGGCCTTTTTCAATCTACATATTGTATTAATGACCAAGCTCGTGTTGTAACATGGTGCGATTTTCATATAAATTTTCTCATCAAATTCTCCATGCAAAAAGAAGTAAACCCGAAAGTGCTGACTGAAGAAGTTAACCATGCAAAGTATTAATATTTCTATGTAATTACAATTTACATATAGTCCTTTCTAGCTTCTCATTTTACAAATAAGGCAACTTCATTGCATTAACCCCATTCCTGAACCTTAACTCGACTAAAGGAATGTCACATGTGCGGTGATCAATCTATTCAGGTTCAAGTGAACGCTACTTGAACAAACTAAACTCATGCTACAACAATAGGCCAACATTTGCTTGTTGTATGTTGCACCTAGTGATTTTATCTTGCTTTATGTAATATAAAAATATAAAATAAGATGAGAATCTTAAACTAATAATAATTGGATTTAGGAGATGTTTGGTTGGTTTTCCATTAAGTCGTGTATAGATAAAGCTGACTGTGTGAATTAATTAGTCTGTATGGATTGAGATTTTTTTTTCATAGATGGAAGGAACGTGTTTTTTAATTGGGAATAACAGTTTTGGGACATAAAGCCCCCTAGAAATTTATCAAATAAATTATTTTCTATATCATTAAACCACTACCAGACGGTCATGTATAGCTGACCGAATAAGTTGTAAGTCTTATTAAGCTCGTTAAGATGTCAACAAACAGGTAAAAACGACTGCACATATGAGCAATAAACTACGTAAAAAGTGGTTGAAGTCTAAGTAAAGGATTAAGTATGTTGTCACTATCTTGATCCATTTTTACAAATTCCAACTATAAAAATGAATAAACAATCCAGTGTATTGTTACTATATTGATGATAAAAACAACATGCTTAATGCTCTTAAATGGTGGCAGTCGTACATCAAAACATGCAAGCTAAGAGCTATCCTTTTTCTAGTGTTCTTCCATTTCTTGACAGACTGAGACTTCTGCTTAATTGTTTATTAATCCTTTTCTGCACCAAGAGGAGTTATCGAGGCAGGGATTCAAGCCGCTAAGATCTTTTAGGGTGCGTTTGGTACATTGCACAGGGACATGACAGAACAGGACAAAGATCCCTGTCCCATGTTTGGCATGAATTTAATGTGGAATAGACAGGAACAGAGTGGAACAAAGTGGAACGGGCCTGTTCCACCCCTACCCCATGGAACATAGTGGAACAAGGTGGAACAGACTTATATTTTACCAATATAACCTCAAAATAAAACTTAATTCTCTTCTAAAACATCAAATAGGTCTCTCTTTTACATTTTATTCATTCTTTAAATTTTATTTATTGTATTTTATGTTTCTTAAACATTCATTTGACTGTTCTTAAAATATTAATTTTATACGGTTTCTATATTTTTATTAATTTATGTAATTTATTATATATTAATAATAAAAAATAATGTAGGAAAGAGATAAAAATAAAAATAGAAAACCACATAAACTTTTTATTTGGTGTCATTTTAATTGTTTTGACGAAAACTTCAAATGATATATTTTGTTATAAAAAATAATTATTCTATTATAATTTAATAAATTACATAAATTGTTTTCTTGATTTTATCACCGTCAAACGTATTGCGTAAGGTTCACGCATGCAATTTGTTGTTTTCGATGAGTTTGTATGTTTTCTCTTGATCAGAGTAGTAAATATTCGATTTTGATCTTACAAGAGTGATTGTACAGGTGATAGGTGAATTTTTGTTTTGTTTTATGGAATGCAAGTTTTGTGAATGTGATGATACTATATGGGATCACTAGTCAAATTGTTTTCTTGATGCTTATATTTTATGTACTATTTGATATTTAATCCAGCTTAATTGATTGTGCGCTTGTTGGTAGTAGTTTTTTATTCTTAGTATGAAATGCATATAGATTTACTTCGATAATGGATTCTTGATGCTTATATTATATTTACATTTTTCATATATCATTAGTTGATTATGAAATCATGTATTTTTGCAAATATATTTTTGCAAGTAGTAGTGGTTTGATGTAAGTTATACTTTGCACACTGTATTTGTTAACATTTATATTGATTATTTAGTTAAAAAAACACTAAACAGCTCATTGGGGGTAAATTGGTCATTTTAACCAGTTCTGTCCAGTCCTATCATGTCTTACCAAACGCTGAACAACTGTCATATCTGCATACCAAACACACCCTTAATCATCATTTCTTCTTCATCTCTTATCTTTCAAATCCATCTCTTCTTTCTTCACAAGTTTCTCACATCGATTCCAATGATATTTCACACAAATACCAACAATCTTTAACATCAATCCTTACATTGCGTGCAACCAACCTTTCAAAAGTTAATGCACATATAAATGACATAACATTTATTCAAAATCGTAATAAACAGACTAAAATTCTGACTCAACTCATGAACAGTAAAACAGAAGTAAATAAAGAGAAAAAAGATACTCAAAATGAATGGTAAATCAAAAGGGGTAAAATGTTATGTAAGAGGCTGTTTACCTAAATGCTTACCCGGTTAGCGCTTACCGTAAGGAGTCAACACTATAATTTATTTTCTAGGTAAGATTGTAGTATATCAAAATGGTATCGTGTGCAACAATATATATGATAAGCGCTTACCCGGGTAAGAGTCGTCACACTCACTTACCGGATAATGCTTTCTATCCTTATCATCGCTCTTACAAGGTAAGATTCTTGGGTCTTGTCATGTTCGTCCAGTGAGAAAAATTGTCCGATAAACACCTACTGGGTAAACGTTTAATAAACGACCCCTAAATAAGTGATTTTCTAAGGGTTATCAAGTAGCTAATATTTTTTAAATATTTTATTTTATAAAATGAATTATTTGCTAATAAATTGTTTGTAGTTGTACAGGTAAATAAATATAATTCACTTTATATTTTAAAATATATTTTTGTATTTTTAACAATCTCAATCATGTCATGAAACGATGAAACTTTACGCGTATAACGGTCTCAAACACGAAAACAACGGCCTAAAATCTGTAATATATGAGATCTATGTCGTGTTTGGACGGCTACGATCGTGATGATATTTTCTAGTACTATGGACGTCGCCACACATAGAATAACCCCAAACTCATAGAATAACTTTCAAGACACAACCCTTTCGATGACTGCCTTTGATCAATTTCTTTCGTTGTGACGTCGCTGTTCTTCACCAGTTCGCATCAAATCCAGATCAAATATTTGGCGTGGAAACGCACTGAAATAGTATTCTGCCCAAGAATTGATCGTTTGCACAGATCAATTTTTCAATTTGAGTTCATTTTTATGGCAGCAGTTCCTTCGCATTGATCAATTGCAATGGCTCATTGGCTCAAAGCTGCTGAAGGTATCGTGTAGTTTTGCCTTGCCCTAGTTCATTTCTCAAATAATCAATAGCTTAGTTTTAAAGAAATCTGAAATGGTATTGGGCAAAAATGGGGGAAATTCGTTTACTTTCCGTTCTACTCAATAGACCATGTATGTTATGGAATGTTGGTTTGTAACTAGTGATGATGATATTGCTATTATCGGATGTGTATTATGCGATTGATCATTGTGATTTGAAAGATTAACCTCTGTCGTTAGGGTTATAGGCGTTAGGTACTTCAGTTAAATATAAGAGATCTGGATCCTTGAAGTTAGTATGTCAAGTGCACCTGAAGCTGGGTTATTTTGCTATGATTAATGGAGGTTTGAGCCGGGCAAAACTCCTTAATCATATCATCAGTGTGTGTCTGGCTTCTGAAGGTTTTCTTGAATAAACTTAATATCACTTGGAAGGTTTACAAGTTAAGACGCTACTTCTTTATAGGTCTGTGTTGTATAAAACAGAAAATAAGATTATTATTTAGGAAAAGTGGAAAACATAAACATCATCTACTAACGTTTTTTCAGTTTCTATTTGAACAAGCAATTTCTTGTAATTTTATTCGGGCTCATGATCACTGAAACAACAATTACTGCTATGATGATACAAAAAGAGGAAGTTACTAATTACATGGCTGTCAAGATTATGGCCATGGAGTTGATTTTCCACACAAACATAGCAACTTGGCATAGCAAATGGTGATATTAAAATGGAACAAAATTTCTGCCTGGAAGCAGGTTTTGTGCATCAGTCAAGATCGCATCCGTACCAACTGACTTATGCTTTCAATTTATAATCAACCAAAGAGTGAGAATAAAGGAGGAACCCGTGAGGATAGTTTGCAAGATAATGGCCCAAAGATCTGGTCACTAATTCAAAGAAATTTACTCAGAGTAGGCATTATGTACAGCTTTGCAATAGTATGTGCATTTCAAGAGCGAGCAACATTTAGTCCCTGGAAAGGCGTTGATCGAGTTCCTTGGTCATTATCAAATCAAGACATCTAGCTGAGGACAGAAAAGTTAACATAAATGTTTAATGGCTTCACCTACTGCCCCTATTTTAATGACGTATGCAAGACCCTTCCCCAAGGGCAAGAAAGGTACTGCAGAATAAATCTGTTGCAAGGAGCAGAGAATAAATAGAAGTGAGGAGTAGGAGGATGGTATCCAGAAAAGATTCTCATTACGTATTGGGAGTGACCTAGGCCACTTGAATGCTGGAGGTGTTGTACTTTCAACTATAGTGGTTGATTGAGCATTCCACTTTCCATTATTAAAGTTCAGTATTCATTCCTCCTTCATTTCACATTGTTTTCTGGGTAATAAACAGTTTCATTCTCCTCGATCTATTGCAAAATATTGATGAATTATTGTTTGAAGTATTTTTTAGAAGATATGGGAATTACATCCTAAAGGCTAAAGGTCTGTTGAGAGTTGAGTAGCACGTTACTTCGGTCATGCAATCGAAGCAGTTGGTTTCTTTCCATGATCAAAGATTGAAGTACTTTTTGCTACTTTGCTGCTCTTCTATTCATAAATATCCTAGTTTCTATTTCAATGTCTATTGGTGCAATATATATATATATATATATATGTGTGTGTGTGTGTGTGTGTGTGTGTAAATGTGTGTGTGTGCAAAGAGCTCTAAAGAAATCTAAATAATTTTACATGTTCAATTTTAGTGCTCTGTAATAGGATTGGGGGAAGCTTTCATCTCCTTTTGGAGCACGAGTTTACTTTCCGGTCTTAAGTGGCTTATCCTTCACGTCATGATCAAGGGCCATCAGAACTTGTTGATGACATTCACCCATAGTAAAGTCAAAACTAGACTCTTGTTAAATCTGTGTGGCACATGTTTTTCATTTTGCACTAGTATTATTTCAACCGAATCTTGAAGTTCCCACCACGATTTAATTAATTAATTCTTATGCTTCCTGACCTGTCTTTATCACTAGGGTTTGTTTCTATATTCATTTTATCCGTTGTCTTTATCCTCTAAACTCTTTAATCAGACAATTTAATCTTGTTCGAAGATACAACTTTTATGCATGCAAGAATTGATATGTGTTGGTTATACTGCTTTTATCAAATCTGTTGCATTTTGTTTTTGACATTAATTGTTTAGTCAGCAACATATAACTGCACATTTTACTTAATAATTTGTATTATTTGTGGATACATAAACATATTAATACACGTGCCTACTTGTCATGCATTTGATTTTATGAACTTGAAATTTCTTGAAGACAAGCAAAGCTCATGGTTTGTATTGCATAGATTTATTTGAAGTTGTAGATCGAAGGGCAAAGCTTGTAGTTGGAGATGAGCAACCAAATTCACAGTCACCAGGTTAGTAAGCGTATGCTTGTATTTTGGTGTCGGTATCGTACAATATTATTTGTATTGAAAAACAAAATAGCAGATAGATACCGTTTACAGTACTTTTGTAGCCTCTACTTCTGATTTCTGCATGGTGGTTATCTATTTGACTTGTTTCTTTCTGGTTCATGGCTTTCCCATTCTGCACCATTAAGCTTCAAATGGACAAGGATCTCAAACGAAGCGTAGAAAGTCAAAATTGAAGGTATTCTAGTGGTTTCTTGTGGGATTTATTAAGCATCATGCAAGTATTCTTACTCTCAAGTGATCTGAAATTACCCTATTTGCTGCATTTKAAGGGACAATCTTCAGATAGGTCTGCAACGGTTGATAATGCTTTGAAAAAAACTGGCTCCCGTGCATCAGTATCAAAGGTTTCATCTGATGAAGATTTATCTGCTGCTTCAACTGATAATGATGCGATTAATCAAGCTCATTCTTCTTTGAAAAATAAAGACGAGGAGCAACGCAAAGTTAATAATGATGTCTCCCAATCAGATGTCCCTGTGTCTTTGTCATCATTGGATGATCAGCCTAAACAAGACACTATGTTTGACAAAGATACAACATCTGCTATTAATCAAGAGGCTGTTCCACCAATCTTCAACAGTGATATTGTCAATGCGACTTCTTCAAAATCTAGTGAGGAGATTTTGTCAACATCGGTAACTTTGGTAGAAAGTGAAGCTGAAAAAAATCATCCCACTGATTCTGGTGAAGATGTCTTATTGAAAGATAAAGGAAGTGACATGGTGATAAAAAAAGAGGGATCTCAATCTTCAAATTCAGATACACCTTCTAAAGTGGATTCCCTAAAAGTTAGCAATCTCAAAATTGAAACTCAGCTAGATGAAAATAAGGATCAAGAACATAAACCTGTAGCTTCGCCAAAGAAAGTACAGGAACAGCCTGGTTCCCCGAAGAAAGTACAAGATCAGCCTGGTAGCCAAAAGAAAGTACAAGATCAGCCTGGTTCCCCAAGGGAAGTACAAGATCAGCCTTCGAAGAAAGTACAAGATCAGCTTGACGAGGTAAGCTATAGTCAACTGGCATCACATTTTTTTGGATTCTTTGTTAGCTTTAGGTTTTTAAAATGTTGGGTGCATGGCACAAGTGGTTTTATGGACTTCCTTTTCCATTCAATAGGCACAGGGGCTGCTTGAAAGTTCAAAAACCACTGGTCAGTCAAAAGAGGCTAGGTTAGCACGGGTAAGGCTACACTCTGTTTCAATTCTTATACTTATGGTAATTAATTGTTCCTGGGGTACATAAGATGTTGGTTGCCACACATGCTTACCTATATAAAGGTAGCGTTTCTTTGTTGCAAATGTGTCTGCATAGTGTATCTAGTAACTTCCTCTGATAAAAAAATAGGAGCAAGAATTATTAAGCCTTAAAGAATATGAAGATCATGATTGTGCTGCTTTCTAGGTTTGTGCTGGCCTTTCATCACGCCTTCAAGAATACAAATCTGAAAATGCACAATTAGAGGAGCTTCTAGTAGCAGAGGTAAGAACGAATGGATGATGTTCCTGCATTTAGTATGCTTTTGATTGCATCATTTATATATTAAATAAATGTCGTTTACAGCTTATTCTACTTTAACAGAGAGACCTGAGTAAATCATATGAGGCTCGGATACAACAACTGCAAAAAGACTTGTCTTTATCAAAGGATGAGGTGAATAGAGTGGAGTCAAATATGTTGGAGGCTTTGGCTGCAAAGAATGCTGAAATTGAGGCCCTTGTCAATTCCATGGAAACAGTTAAAAAGCAGGCTGCTTTGTCTGAAGGAAATTTGGCATCATTGCAGGTTTATGCACTCCTATGAAGAATGCAAGTTTTACATCTTACTCTTGCCACCTTTTATGGTTTTGTTTCTGGAATTGGTATAATTCTGCAAATATGAGGGTCTAATCTTATCTACACTTCTCATTGATTCTTAACTTGTTCCACACATGATATGGAGTCTGCCTTGATTGATATCTTAGAGGCTGAAGGCCTTGCCTTCTGCATAACAATGAAGGCCCCCAAATACCTGTGAAATTTTTCGCCCCAAGTCCCAACCATTGCAATAGGACTCATTTGGGTGTCTTAGCAGGAAAATATAGGGAGTTGGTTGATCTGGATGGCTCTGAATATAGGACAATTGGATCCTTGGCAGGAAAACTTAGGGAGTTAGTTGATGCACCAAAGTGGAGAGAGAATATTGCATCTGTCAGTCGATATCTTGGGAAGAACTAAATTAAGTTGTTGGGGTACTTTTCAGTGGGGAACCTTTTTGTGGGAGAGAATTTTGATTGTCATGTTGGTAAAATAGTTCAGATTTTCAGAGGATTCACAGAAGTTACACATAGTAATAGAAATCAAGAAGAATGAGAACATTTTGTAATGCACTATCTTCTTATGGTAGCATGCCTTTTCTTAGGAAAAAGTTTTGCACATGATAACATTATGGTGGTGGTCACATATTTAGACATATAAATTGTGTCCTTATAATGAGAGAAGGTTCATGTGTCTCGACTCTTGTATAGATTGTAAAGACAAGAGTGTGAAGGGACACAATATAAGTTAGAGGTGCTTTAGCTTGGCGTAGGTAGAGTAGGCATAATAAAAACTAAAAGACGAGGCGGTGGAACTTGAAGAATTAGGGAGCAGTTCAAAAGGGAAGCGAAGTCTTACATGTAAACAGACCAGGCAACCACAGTTCCAATTTCTGGAAAAGGAGACAGATTTTGTAGGTTTTGTCTTGCACAGACTAATGAAGGTATTTTGCTACCATTTGGAACGTGGGATTTATATTCCCCAGACAGTCAACCCACGGACTCATTAGTTAAGTTCTACCTTAAATTACAAGCTAAAACCAATAAATTGGCATTGAATATTTGATGGAAAACCATCTCTTCTTTTGAAGGGCTATTATTTTTTGTATTAGTAAAGAGTAATGAAATACTAGTATCATATTATGTGATTGTTGGAGTGTCGAACCTGTCTTGTTTAATATAAATTAAACATATTTGTTTTCCTTTAAAAGCATATATAATACTAAAGCTTGCTGCAATTGATAGTCAGTGTGTTTCTCCTCAAAGACTAATGATCTCTTGAATTTCCAATAGCAGTTTCTATTAGGATTCTGTACTCACTTCACTACACTGGCTTCTTTTTGTTCTTGATTGTTTTGATATACATTATTCGTCAATCATCTTAAAAATGAACTCGATGATAACGATCTCTTGTGTAAATTTTTCGTCTTTGACCAAGAACGCAAAATAGCTGAAGCTTATATGACAGATGTTTTTACTTCATTACCAGGCAAACATGGAGTCGATAATGAGAAGTAGAGAGCTAACAGAAACGAGGATGATGCAAGTAAGAACCTGGTTGAAGCCATAAAGTGATGCACTAAATGTACTATATGGGCCTTGTGTTGTACTAATTGTTTTGTGGTGTATTTCTGACATGGGTGACATTGTTAAAATATGTGGTCATGCAGGCTTTAAAAGAGGAGCTTGCATCTGCAGAACGAAGAGCAGAAGAAGAGCATGCTGCACATAATGCTACCAAGATGGTTCCATCTAACTTTTGCTCATGTTCTGTTATTGGTCTTTGATGCTTTCATTCAGTATACATGAGTCTTGATTTTATTTCGATTATAGGCTGCAATGGAAAGGGAAGTAGAATTAGAACACCGTGCTCTTGATGCATCCACAGCCCTAGCCAAGATCCAGGTATTCTCATATGCTTTTTGCTTTGTTTAACCTGAGTATGTTAAATTTGCCCACTTTGATACAAGTACCTTGATTTGTCTTAAGTTCACCGTAAGCGTACAAGCTATAGTATACAGGTTGAACATGGGAGACGATAAATGAGCACCAGTCAATCTCATATTATAAGTTAGCCACACAAATCTTAAGGGTTTTTAATTCTAAACAAACCAAGGACGGAAAACAAATAAGGAAAATGACTAGGATTGAGAATCCCCCTTCTATGAGTTAAGGCCACCAAAAAATTTGTACAACATATAGCATAATTTGACTAAGGAGATAAATGCACCTAAACCCTCTTTCGATCCGAGAAATGCCTTTCTATCACAAATTGTACCTACTTTTGTGGTAAGTCAAAATGGTAGAAGCATTAGGATCTAGCCATGATAATTCTCAACCAACATTCCTACCTATTTGAATCGGAGAACATTAATCATTAGCTAAGCTCTCAAATTTGAAAACAAATCTCCGTCCATCCAAATCACAATGGATGAAATTATCAATACGAATCGATAATCCAAAATAAAACCTAACTTTTCTTAGCGATTCAATTTCTAAGACATCAATCAATAAAAATCCAATTAGTTTTAACTAGTTAAATCCCAATTTACAAAGCTATACTAATTTCATGAGAATGAAATTCAATAAATTGTCCACTACAAATGGGTTTTACCTAATCCCAAGCAATCATACAAACATAATGGAAATAAGCACAAAGCCCAAATACCAAAATCTAAATATTAGAAATGACCCCGTTAGCCGGCTTTTGTAGCAAATTCTATTTGTTCTTCGCCTCTTTGTGTTACTGAATACTAAGAGCATCAATAGTGCCCAGGTCCATGAACCCGGGGCCGCTTCTTCTTCTCTATCAGTTGGGCGTTGTGCCAAACCCGTCCTTGCCAGTAGCCTCATGGCATGTACTTGGTTCCAATTTGAGAACCGCTTCCAACTTCCAAAAAATAAGTTTGCCTTTTCTTTTTTAATTTTAAAAATAAGTTTTTTAAGGGGGTGTTTGGTTCGTGCAGAGGAGCGAAAATGCAAATGACGGAATAAAAATGGGAATGGATTTCGTTCCCCCTAGTTTAACGTGGAATGAGAATTTGTGCTTCTAGGGGAATGGACCCATTATGTTATACGAAACCGTACTGTTTCTTTTATTTTTATTCCCATTAATCACCGCTTAATAGCAAACACCTCCTAATTTTTTTAAGTTCGTTAATAAATAAATGTATTTATAATAGTTTCAAAAAAATATTGATAAAATTGTAATCCTTTAACAAGTAATTTTTTCCCGTTTAATGAAAATTTTATTTTTTTAAATTCTTATTATCATGACATTTATTTTTATTAGTTGCATTTTAGTTGTCATTATCTCGATGTTATATATTATAAAGAAATCAATAATTTGTAATTTTTTCAAGAAATCAATATTTAAAAACAAACCGTTAGATATTGTATTATTATAGTGGTTAGACATTTTTAATTATTTAAACCTTAATTGGTAGATGTTTTTATTGCTTTCAATCTATATTAATTAGAAAGTAAACAAAAAATGTAGGACCCATTTAAAATTATGAACCGTTTACGAAATGAGTAGTTGAGAGAAAACCAATGTTGCTGATTCATGGACTTGTGACACGGTTCATGACTATCAGACTATGGATGTTCTAAAATGTGATAAGGAAATAAATTAAAATGCGATGAGTGTTAAATGCGGATGATGTTATACACCGCATAAAGGCAAAATGGTTAAAGTGGAGAGAGGCAAGAGGAATAATTGTGATAAGAGGGTACCATTAGAACTGAAGCAGAAATTCTATAGGGTAGCCATAAGACCAGCTATGTTGTATGGTTCTGAGTGTTTGGCAGTAAAGAAGAGCAAACAAAAAATTGGAAGTTGCAGAGATGAGGATGCTGAGATGGATGTGTGGCCGGATCATGCTAGATAGGATCTCAAACGAAGTTTCGCGGTCAGAACTAGGGGTTGCGCCTATCATTGATAAATTGAGAGAGGGTAGATTGAGGTGGGTTGGGCATGTTCGTAGGAGACAATTGATAGCATCAGTTCTTTCTTTTATCACTTAGAAGCCGTGCGAGATGAAAATCAGAGAAGCAAATACAAGGGGTACGCTAATCAATAAGATTGATAAAGTAGCACTTAATGCAAAAACAACCAATTGGAAACTGTAAATATTTTCGAGGATATGACATCTGATAGGAGTTCTTGAAGGCATAGGACTAGATTGGCCGATTTGTAGGATCTGGTATAGGGTGTCGTCAAGGGTATAGAGCAGGCAAATAGGCTCCTTGTGTTTGATAGCTGGGCCTGCTTGACTATCTTATTGGTCATGCCTACATTTTTAAGTTGCTATTTTCATAGTTCTACCTGCATTACATTTTTCATCTTACTACATTGTTTGCTTGCACACCTTTGAATCGTGCACACACAATGGAGTCGCTAGTTTACTTGTTAGTTTTACCGATCACCTGTTCTATTGCTTATCTTTTTGCCTGAGTCTTCATGGAAATAGCCTCTCGATCCTTGTGGTTGAGGTAAGGTCTACGTCATCTTACCCCTCCAGACCCTACTTTTGAGTGGGATATACTGGGTTCGTTTGGTTTTGGTTTTTAAATACGAAAAAAAAATCAATAACCATGATGAAAATGAACGAACTGTAAGAAGCATAAAATTGTATATGGCAAATGAAATAATAGATAGGAACATATTATCAAATAGGAACAATTGGATTTCATATGATAGATGAATACAAGCTTAGATCTCAATTGTTGAATGTTCCACCATTGTTATTGAATGACAAAGAAGGGAAAAGAGGAGAAGAGAGGAAGAACAAGAACAAAAAGGGGCTACATTTTGATCTGATTTCTAGCGTCAATTTTCGTTCCAAAAGGATGTATACGTGCTCAGGTAAAAAAATGGGTGAAGTGCCCAAGATAGCCCCTCTCCAACATTGTGTGAAAACAGAGTCTGCCGCTTGGCATGGCTATGCAACTTTTTGGCCTGCCGTCAATTCTCCAGTAAGTCTTCTACTTGTACTTCACGGCAAGCTCAAAGCATGAAAATTGTAGCTCCTTTTCTTATCTATCCACAGCCTCTTGAATCGCCTTAATCTGAACTTAGACGAGTGAGACATGATCAAAATACTGCATCAAGGTAAAGCTGTCCAAAATATGCTATCCACGAACATGCTTCAAATATCGTACACGTCCAACAGTGGTTGGTTCTTCCCTGTATGCTTGGAACTCATCATTTAGTTATGCCTTGTTATCGTGCCGGTGCATGCTTATTTGGAATCACAACAAAGACGACAAAACGTATCTTGTTTCTTTGATTGAAACTTGCATCCGGAGCACCTGATTAGGTCTGAAAATCAACCAAAATCACAGAGCAAACAACGAGGCAACACAAGGCAGACATGAGGCAGATGCAATGCAAGAATGATGAAAATGAATGCTAAAACACGAACAAGAGAAACACAAAAAAGACTTAACATATGTATATTGGTGCCTGGTATTGGTTATGTTAACTGTTTAAGAAAACTATCTCTAACGGCTGTTTGTCTCTGAATCATCTTCTTTCAGGTGTAGGATGTATGAATGTCTGTTGGGTTCATATCCATTAGCTACCTTAAATTCCCTACTCAAACAAATACCATTCTGTATTTGCTCTTTTGATCATGTGGTCCTAACCTTCTACCTGCCTCTACTTGGCTTATTTGCAACCCTGCTAGATTTGCTATATACAACTTAATTTTACTCATATTAGTGAATAAATAGCAGAATTGAGTGAGTTGCTATAAGTACAATTAATTGTTACTAGTTTTGAAGTGTGTAATATAACATGTTATCATGTTTGTTGCAGCAAATGTATGTTCATTTCTGTTACAAGTCTGGTGCACATCTCTACTTATTTTTTATGCCTGTGATCTTAACTATTTTATGTAACTGGTTTCTTTATTAGAGAACAGCTGATGAGAGGACTTCCAAAGTAGTAGAGCTTGAGCAAAAGGTGGCATTACTTGAGGTAATTACAAAAGCCTCAAGTTTTTACATGAACTTATTCTTGTATGTTTCTCTAGTTCTAAGATCATCTATCATCAGGTCGAATGTTCTAGTTTAACTCAAGAACTGCAAGATATGGAAGCTCGTGCTCGGCGAGGGCAGAAGAAGTCTCCAGAAGATGCTAATCAAGTGATTCAGGTAGATGAAGAAAGATGATACATGTAAACTTTTTTTATGAGTTTTAGATTTTTACCTTTTTAGTTATTAGCAAAAGCATGTTAGGTTAGCAACTGAAAAATAGCAATCCATGTGGTCACAGGTGTAAACCGAACAACCTGTGCCCACAACTCTTAAAACCATTTTCATCGGTTGTACCTTCAAAATTGTGTCACATAATGAGAAATCATGGCGAAACATGGTATATACCCAAAAAGAAAATTATGTGGAGGAAGTACAAAGAAAGTCTTTTACATTCACTGTGACAAATTATAAAAAAATTGATATTCAGAAGTTGAAATGAAAGACTTCTACCTCAAGAAAACCATATATCAAGGTCATGGTAACTAAGCTCAACTGGAGGAAGACCTGAGACCCTGTTACCGAGCCTACGGTTTAAGTTGGTGTGTTTCCTTTCTTGGTAGCTGAGTGCTGAGTGCAGATTCCAAAACTCAGCCTCTATGACATTTCAGCAATATATTTCAGATAGAAGGCAAGCCTAGAAACCAAAATTAGGTAGCTCCCATTGTTATTTGTTTTACTAAAAAAATGTAGGTACAACATGGTATACACATACTTTTGTTTTATCAATCACAATCTCACATAATTTTGAAATATATGGGTTTTTGATGCCCAAAAGGTAAACATCTTAGTGGCTTTTCAAAGTAATTGCCCAAGACGGATATTATTTTTAATGCAATTTTACTGTTGCCTATCATGTTTCTGGAGGTTAGCATATATGGAGTTTGAATTACCATTTTTATCAGACTATTTTGTTATCTCACAAAAAGATAACATGCTCCATTTGTTATGCTTTCGATGCTGTGATTTTACTAACCTTGCTGTTGTGGGAGTTTGTTTGGCTGAAGCGTATAACGCTAAAACAGTGCTTCAAGATTTTTTATTTCTTAATTGCCATCATACCTTGATTTCGACTAGCAAGTACTTTAATGTAGGATAAGATTTTCAGAATAAGTGTCGATTAATAAGAACTGAAACAATTTTGCTCAAGCTTGATAATCATGGCATATTTATAGTTATCAGAAACTAATCATCATATAAACTCAGTAATTGTAACCTATCCACATGATAACATCATGTTCTAAATTTCCAGATGCAGGCTTGGCAAGAAGAAGTAGAGCGTGCACGTCAAGGCCAGAGAGATGCTGAGAGAAAGCTCTCTTCTTTGGAGGCAAGTTTCTGTCACACCCTGCTTCTGAAATAATAAAAGTTATACAAAGTTCAATTGTGTACAGTGGAGGACTACAAATGTTTACATCGAAATGCTAGAACACATCAGATATCCTTGTTGGTCCCACTTCTGAATTACACCTTTAGACATATGTGAACAATTTTGTCTGAGATACATAATCATGGAAGCCCTAGAGCTTAGTGGTATCATGGTATCTACAAATAACATTACATGTTCTCAAAACATACATATATATTATATTCATCTATTAACCTCCGAAAGTATGCACTCAAAATACTTCTGGAAATGTGTAATCATAACAACATGCAATATTGGCTCTGTAAAACTTCTGCATAAAAAATAACACTTGAAAATACGAGACTTCTTATTGCGAGTCAATGTGTATTTTAGACCTTCTGGATGCTTCTTGGAGTAATAATACTGAACTTGAATAGAGGTATAACTTGCATGTACTAACTGGACTTTACTTCTAATCATGCATCCCAGAAAGTGTCCAAATACACAAGGACATAAAACAATTTACTTCTTGATAATGGTTCATGTATGCTGTAAATAGACTTCTGATATGCACATATTCATGGACATATTTTACACATAATATATATATATTTTCATTATATCTCAGTTTAAATATACACATGATACTCATCTTTATCTTCGTGTATGAAACTAGTTTCTGATTATCCTGTTAACCTAAGTATCATAAAATATACATGTTCGAATATTAGCCACTACTTTTGTTTCTGTAAACAGTAAAATGAACCTATTGTTTCTTTCTGTTTAATGACATAGGCTACACTTGGTCTGGCCATCATCCTACGACCTCAACAACTCTTTACTGTTTCTGTTTTACATCTGGCGTATGCTGGTACAACAACTTTGTTTCATCTGTTTTTAACATTTGTACAACCACCTCTTGTCAAAGTAAACTTATGTATAAACTCCTCAACTGGTTAGGCTATGATAGTTCACTGGGCATAGTTTTACGTTGTCTGTATAACTTTATCTGTACACAGCACCTTAAAATGCTTAGAATAATCAATTTTTTGTCTCTATTGTCAAACTGGCATAGGGCTATAACTTATATGGACCGTAGTTCTATGCCTTCAGCATTCTTCTATTTTCTGATTTTTGTACACATAGGTCTAAATGAGGCTGGCTGTAATCGTGAGTTGTTCATCGAACACCAAGAGCAACTTTATTGTTATACTGTGTTTTGCTTCTGATACTTCAAATTTATTTTTAATTGTTTACAACCCAACCTTTTATTTCTAAAACTCTTTATCTTACCATAACATGAATATAACATTATATCATGTTAAAAAGCTTCCATTTTTTATTCAAAGTAATACTTTGACTCGACACGTACAAATGCAAATGCATGTCACATCCTCAACATGTAATCGTCTAGATTCTAAATTATTGATTTAACTACTGGATTGAAATAACACTTTTGGGATTTGAGAATTATACCTTCGTTAAACTAGAGAATCATTTGTTAATGAGATGTGTACAATTAGCTCCTTCACTTGTACTTTGCTTGATTTCTCCTTCTTTCTCTCAATTGTTTGTACTGATTTCTTCTTCTCTTTTTATAGTTTTCTTTTCTTCCATTTCTAACCTATGCTTGTACATATGTGGAGCAAGAACGAAGTGAGGCAATGCCTCCTTTAAACACTCAAGTCCAATAGCTTATTCCTGAAGTCTAAAAATGTATACTTGCCACATCTAGTTTCACATCTCGCTTGGCTTCTAAGTGATAAAAGAAAGAACTGATGCTATCAATTGTCTCCTTTATTTCGTTCCATATAAATTACATTGTATGATGACTGAATAAATTTAGGGGTGTTACGGCTTCTTTCATGTTTTTTATGGACACACACATAATGCTTTCTTTCTCCATTTGTGCCGACATTGGTTAATAAAAAAACTAATTAAGAACTCAATCCCAAATCAGTTTCTTATGGTCCTTATGTTCCAAAATGAAGAACCAATGGATGATTGCAGGCTGAAGTTCAAAAAATGAGAGTGGAAATGGCGGCCATGAAAAGGGATGCTGAGCATTATTCACGCCAGGTAGCAGCTTTTAGTTTTTGCTAATAAGAGATTATGTATTCTTTTGCTTGAGTACAGTGCATACCGATGCATATAATTGCATACTTTTTTTTTGTCTTTTTGAATGGGTATGTGTATTTGTCAGCTTGGGACAAGGACAATTTTAGTTGAGTTTGCCTCGGCATGACTGATAGTCTTTCTTGTACCTGTTATTTATTTGTTCATGTTCTTTGATGGATCCATCAATTTTTCTGTGAAGGTCAAAAAGTATGAACCATTAGGTCTTGCTTTTATACTTCCTGCTGAACCTGGGCATAGGGAAATGTCGAATAGCAATGTTTTCTTTGCATTGATCGTAGGAAGTTCTATGCCTCTATAAATAAAAATGAGTTTTGGAAGGTTCCATCGTAAGTTTGTTTTATGAGCCGTAGCTAAGGTTGGTTTCCTCTTGTGGCAAAAGCCATTGATTTATTATGTTATAGGAATTTACAACTATGTCATGAAAATAATCCTTTCTTTTTCTATATATAGAATATAAAAATCTGGATATTTCCATTAGAGCCGATGTAAACATAGGAAGGGTCTTTCTAGCCAGTCAACCAGATACCTGAGAATACCTTAGTAACATTTTAGTATATGTTTATTAATATTAAGAAGTTATTGTAGCAAAGATAATTGGGAATAATTTTCTCTATATTATTTGAAGAGAATGATACAGTCATTTATATACCCAAAAAAGAGGTCCTACTAAATAAATTACCAAAGAGGAAAAAGCAAACTATACAACAAATCACTCTATCTATGGAGGGAATATACAATAAAATCACTGATTATAGGAGATTGAATCCTAATAATCAGCACACAATATTTCCACCAGTTTGTTTTCCTACACTCCCCCTCAAATTGGTCGGAATATGTCTGTTAGACCAAGCATAGAGCTTAGTCCAATGAGGTGAGGTCTAAACAGGGCCTTGGTTAAAATGTCTGCTGCTTGCTGCAGAAAGGGAACATGGTTGAGAGAAATAACATTTCCTTCTATTTTCTCACATATAAAGTGCCTGTCCATTTCCACATGTTTCATTCTTTCATGATGGATTGGATTTTTAGCCATAGCTATTGTTGATTGGTTGTCACACATCATCTTGATAGGTCTAGAAATTCCACACTTAAGTTCCACTATCAGTCGATTTAGCCAAATTCCTTCACACATACCGTGAGCTAAAGCTCGAAACTCGGACTTGGCACTGCTTCGAGATACAACATGTTTTTTACTTCTCCATGTCACCAAGTTTCCCCAAACAAATGAACAATAACCGGATGTAGATCTCCCGTTAATAGGGGATCCGCCCCAGTCCGCATCTGTATGAACTTCGAGAGACCGATTAAGTGTTTTCTTGAACATTAATCCCTTTCCAGGATCCTTTTTCAGACACCTAAGAATTCGAATCATAGCCTTCATATGGTCCATTGAGGGATTGCTTAAAAACTGACTAATAATCCTGACAGGACGAGTGTTCAAATATATTAATTTTCCCACCAAGCGTTGATATCGCCCCTTATCAGCTGCTTCCTCTTCAGTCCGAGAGATCAGTTTCGTATTAGGATCCATAGGAGTTTCAACCGGCTTGCAACCACTCATGTGAGTTTCATGTAGGAGATTTAGGACGTACTTGCGTTGAGATACATAGATCCCCTCTTTCGACCTGGCTACTTCCATTCCCAGAAAGTACCTCAAATGCCCAAGGTATTTGATTTCAAATTCTTTGGATAAAAGAATCTTCAGTCTTCTCATTTCTTCTTCGTGATTTCTTATAAGGACAATATCATCAACATAGACAAAGTACAGTAATTTTCCCATCTAGGAAGTGTTTGATGAACATGCAATCTGCTTGAGACTGTGAATAACCATCTTGTTTGAGCACTCTAGAGAACTTGTCTAACCATGCTCTCGGAGATTGTTTGAGCCCATATCTTCTTCAACTTGCACACTTTTCCTTTTATTTTTTCCGTTTCAAAACCAGCCGGTACATCCATATACACTTCCTTACATAGGCTTCCATTCAAGGAAGATTTATTTACATCGAGCTGGAATAAATGTCAGTCTTGGTTGACAACAATAGACAATAGAACACGAACAATATTAAGTTTGGCTATCGATTTCATAAGATTGAGTGAACCCTTTTGCCACTAGACGAGCCTTGTATCTATCTATGCTTCCGTATTATGTTTTACTGAAAAAATCCATTTATATCCCACGATTTTCTTATCGGGTGGCAAAGATATTAGGAGCCATGTGTCATTCTTTTCAAGAGCATTGTACTCATCGAAGGTTGCTTTTCGCTATTCTGGTACCTTAAAAGCTTCATAAAACAGAACAAGGAATCACGGTTTTATCCAAGGAAGTCACATAGGATCAAAATTTTTGTGACAAGTTTGAGTATGAGATATAGCTTCGAAGTGGGTGAGTACATGATCAAATCCCTTTTCTTTGAGCAATGCACAAATTCTTCTTTGGATCATTTGCTGTTATCTCATCGGAGTTTGATTTCGAACTCGATTCTGTCTCATTGTGTAACCTTTCAGGATTGACTGAACTAGGGAAAGATTCTTGACTTTTGCTGGCTTGGTTCTGGTTCCAAAGGTTTTTCTCTTCTTGTGTAAACTTTTATTTCTTCATCAGGGAGATTAAGGTGTTTAGGAGGTACTCCAGACTAACGACTTATTTAAGACGAATCTGGTGAAATTTGAGGAGGCGGTGCATGAGAAGGATGACTTGTTCTTGACTCAAAGATGGTTGTCCATTCCTAATTTTGTGATTCCTGAGTGCTATTCTCCCCCTGAATTGCAAAATTGGGAAAGAACGGTGTATGCTCAAAGAATGTCTCATCCATAGTGTTATAGAATTTTTGTGTTACCGGTGAGTAACATTTATAGCCTTTTTGATTTGCTGAGTAGCCAAGAAAAACACATTTGAGAGAGCGAGCTTCAAGTTTGCTGCGATTATGAGGGTGAACATGAATGAAAGCAACACAACCGAAAATTTTGAGTGGGATATGAGACACAAGTTTGGAGGTTGGGTTGAGTTCATGAAAAATTTGCAAGGGAGATTTGAATGTAAGGACACGAGAACTCATTTGAAAGCAACACACGAGATACGTGGCGGTTAGAACAATGTCGCCCTAATTTTTTTGGGGAACATGGGTTTGAAGGAGTAAGGCTCGAGCAATTTCGAGGATGCGACGGTTTTTGCGTTCGGCCACACCATTTTGTTATGGTGTGTCCATGCATGAGCTTTGTTGAACAATTCCATGAGATTTGAGATAAGAACCAAGATTTGAATTGAAGAAATCCCTAATTGTCAGTTTTGAGAAATTGAATATTGGTTTTAAGCTGGTTTTGGACCATGGCATGAAATTGTTGAAATATGGGATTAGTTTCAGTTTTATCCTTGATAAGAAATGTCCAACATAATCGAGTATGATCATCAACCAACAGTAAAAACCATCGAGCACCCGTGATATTTGGGATCTTGGTTGGTCCCCAAATATCACCATGAATGAGTGAGAAAGGGGTGATTTGGTTTGTAAGGTTGTGGAGAAAAAGTGCTACATGTGTGCTTTGGGAGTTGGCATACTTCACAATGTAAATAGTTCTGATTTATGTGAAAGAATAATGATGGAAACAAATGTCTCATATATGAAAAATTAGGATGACCTAGACGAGAATGCCACAACATAATTGCACTTTATTCGACTGGAAGATGGACTTAAGGCTATGAACATGCTCTAGATCGGGAACAAATAGCACAGAGTATAGAGTAAGAGTATTTGAGAGGTGAATTGTTCCTGCCCCTTCCACAGCGGTGCGAGTACCATTTGCTATGCGAACGTTTTGCTGTTTATTGCAAGGGAAAGAACTTGTAAAAAGAGATCTGTCACCTGTCATATGATTTGAAACACCGGAATCGACCATCCATGATGAAGGAGTTGAACTATCACCAACATGAAATGCGAGATTCCCTTCATTGTTGGCAGACGATGAGATATTAGCCTTGCTTATGAGCTATTGAAGTAATGCCAGTTGGTCCTTTGTAAATGGCACCTGATTGTTGGCTTGGGACTGCGCAGTAACTGTTGTATTTTCCCTAAGCTCACAGTCTCGGCTTGGTTTCCATATTGAGGGTTTTCCATGCAGTTTCCAGCACCCTTCTTTCAGATGACCATGCCTTTTGCAATGATCACACCGAGGATGTCCTTTTCTTGATCGATTATCATTGAAGCTTCAAGACATTCCTTGGGAAGCTAAAGCGACAGAGTTTGGAGCGGGATCCTAGGCTGCTGCGAGAGCTGAAACATCTAGGGAAGAAGATGGAGTGGTTAGTCCCATCATGATTCGCTTACGACTTTCCTCTCGACGTACTTTAGAAAAGACTTCCCGTAATTTTGGTAAAGGTTTCATCCCTAAGTCTTCCATGAACTTCATCAAGAGACTTCATCATTAGAAACTTGAAGATGAGTTTAGTTTCCATCATGGTTTTGAAATAAGTTTGATCGTTAGAACACTTCCATTCATGTGATTCCAACAAGTCTAATTGTTGCCAATAACGAGTGAGAGTTGAGAAATAGGTGGTGACAGAGTTTTCTCCTTGACGTAAATCTTGAAGAATACTCTCTACATGGAACATCTCATCTATGCTTTCACTACTGGAGAAGGTTTCTCGTGCAACATACCAGATTTCTTTCAAAGTGGTGTATAGAAGAAAGTTCTCTCCTATTTCAGTTGTCATTGAACTGATCAACCAAGCCATAACTTGATGGTTTTCTGCCCTCCATGCTCTGAACTCTGGACTATCAGATGCTGGTAGTGAGTGTGCCAGTAAGATACTCATCTCGACCACGTCCACTTATAAACACCATCATGGATTGGGAGCATTGTAGATGGTTATGCCCATTGAGTCTATGACTCGTGATACCGATAAGGCTTGAATCGGTTGAGGAGGGTTCGAGGAGATACAATTTGAGTTGTCTGAGGTCTCGGAACCAGACATTTGGAATAATACGATAAAGCAGAGATAAAAATAACTTACTGTTGGCTTCTGAAAAAGTGATCAGTTGAGTAACAACACCCCAGACTCGTTGAAACTTGTAGAGTGACGAGGGAATTGATTTGATAAATCGACTAACTGAAATTGATTTGATGAGTTAACTGGATAAAATCGACCGGATGATATCGATTGGAGGATATCGGCTGGATTGAATCGACTGGATGAAATCGACGGGGTGAAATTGGTTTAATGAAATCGAGTGACTGAAAAATCGATTGACGATTGTGATTATGAAGGCACGAAACAGAGGTTGGTTTAGGAAGATCAAAAATGGAGCCTAAGCTCTAATACCATGTAGCAAAGATAGTTGGGAATAATTTTCTCTATATTTATTTGAAGAGAATGATACACCCATTTATATACACAAAAAAGAGATCCTACCAAATAAATTACCAAAGAGGAAAAAGGAAACTATACAATAAAATCACTGATTATAGGAGATTGATTCCTAATAATCAGCACACAATATTACCACCAGTTTGTTTTCCTACAGTTATTAATCTTGAATCAAATTGCATCGCTATCAAGTTATCACTTTTGTTCAACTGACCAATATTGATTTGAAATCTAATATTCTAATTTAGAGTTGCCTTTCGTTTTGCATCTACAATGGTGACATGATGCATATCAACTACGAATCATACAATTTATCAGGTTAATAGAAAGTTATGCTGCAAGACGCACCATGAAACACCAGATCTG